GCGTCTGCCAAACTGAGCGTTGAGTAATGTCAACATGGGCCCAAGACAACAACAACAAAAACGAAAGCGTCGAAAGCAAAAAATATGCCCCTGAATGGCATCTGGCATGTGAACTCGCTGAGTAATCTAAAATCCGCACAGCACACACACAGAAAATCCAATTGACTGTGACCGTATTGTTGTGCCAGTGCTGGGGCAAAGCCGCAACACATTTGCCAGCATTAGTAAGATTGCAATTACTGTTGTGCGGCGGGCTGCTAATGCGTGTGTGTGTGTGTATGTGAGGGTGTATGGATGTGCTCGCGCCTAAAAGCAGAGACTGTAAAACATAAGCACCACACACAATGCAATAGCCATGACAACGAGCTAAACTGCAGTCAGCACGATGGAGAGATCAGGCAGAGGAGCCAAGAATTTTGCATCAGTTGGATCCAAAGCGCTCTGGCAAACAGAGGCGCCTTTAATAAACACACTCGACCGGCTTTTGGTTTTGATGTAGAGCCCTCGAGAAATGACAAGTGTCGCACTGTTTGGGTTTCTCTTCTCCGAAAATACTGCAAAAAAATGCATCAAAAAGGGGTAACTAATAAAGCTAAAGCGTCAACAGGCACAGCCTTAAGTCCTTGGGCCAAAGAGCTATTATTACAGTTTGAGTGTGCTGAAAGAGGCTGTTTATTTGATCACGACTCAAATTGGATTTTAAGTCTAGTAATCGCAAGCTCTACTTTTCAGTCTGTGCGTATCGAGAAAAACGGATACTACGCAAATTTTTCTTTCCCCATGCACAACTCAATTTGGCAAAATGTAAACGATGCCAAGATGTGCATGATACAAGAAAAAACTAATTTGCAATGTAGGTGGGCGTGGGGGCGTTTTTTATGCGATGCAAAATACGATTATAAATACAAAAAGCTTTTATATACCCAATCACAATTTAGCTATAAAGATATGATGTAACAGATATGATATATTTATATAGTTATATTAAAGGCGAATAAATGAAAGTATACTTGTTTTTTTAGTAGCAATCTAATGACATGTTAAAAGTACCTAACATATACATGTGCAAAAGAGTCTTTTGTGAGATTATATAAGATGTTACTTAAGCAAGTGGCATAAATAATAACAGGAGGGAGCACACACACACATAATTGTTGTATTCTCTATTCTAAGCAACTGTATTTTTAGCAACAATTTTTACATATATACATATATATATATTTATTTATATGGAATGAAATTTATCTTGACTCTCCTCATATATGATATGACTTGCAGGCAATAAAGTGAATCACGACACAGCACAAATGACGGCTGCTTGTTGCACTCTCGATGTGGTCAGCGGATGGGCTTGCGGGTTTGAAAAGGTCGAGTGACTGATTGACCGAATGCCAGAGGTATTAAAGTAATTGCATGCAATTGTATTTCATATATGGATTTCCACATTTTCAGCCTGTCACAGTGAAATACCAAACATGAAAATGCGGGCAAAATGAATAGTTCTATAGGCTGTATCGCTTGCAGGCCCACTGTGCATATATTGCATCTATCGGTACCTGAGTTGTGTATACAGCTATTGACTACATTTTCTGATTAATGAAGCTGCCATTCAAAAAACGCCAAAAGCGTTGCCTGCCACAATACCAAATTGAACTGTTGCATATGCTAAGAAAGACAGAGACAGCAACAGAGATATGACCCAAGAGATACAGAGAGGGAGAGACGCAAATAGTGAGTGAGAGTGAGAGAGGGAGGAAGGCAGGGTGGCAGCTTGCAAATTGGGAAAACGCCGAACATATTTCGTTTACTGCCAGCTGCAATCTGTGAGATATTTTTTCATCGTATTTTCACCCGGCATTTGCATAGCTCTCTCGCCCGCTGCACTGCACGTTAGCCCAGTTGCACCTGCGAAAACGCCCTATAGTTCTCCTGTTTGTATCCTGTTCGCGTCCAAAGAAAATATGTCAAAAATCAGCAAAAACTGAGAAAAAAAATGAAATATTCTTCGATCGCCTACAGCTTGCAAATGTAGGTGCGCCGCCCACACACACACACACACACGGACACACACACACACATACGGATACGCGCCTATCGCAAAGATACTTAGCTGTTGTGTTTGTTGCTGGCTGACGGCTGTTTCGTCCCGTTGCCTGGTTGCATTGAAGCTGACACCTTGTCAGACACCGAGACGGCTGAAAGTATGCAAACTGTTTCGTCTGTTGTCTGCTGTCGGCTCAGATTTTCGTTTTCATTTTCCGAAAAATGAAATTGTTTGCTCTTTAGCAGCAGTCGTTGCAACTGTCGCTATCCGCAGCTCCTTTGAGCCGAGTGCAAACAGAAAGCGGACTCCTTTATTCGTTGATCGATATTCAATCGTTCTTTTCAATTGCAATATGATGAAAAAGTTGCAAGCCCTACTGACACATTTTACGTATCAGACATCAAATAGGGATGCCTACAAGTCAAGGAAGAGTTGTGGAGATAATGTAACCCTTCCTTACTGAAACGCTCCATTCTGCCAGTAGCACTCCTTTGTCTGAGCGATGTACTCGTGGAAGAATGCACTGGGATCATGTGATGCACCTCGTTTGATGCACTCAAGTAAACTACATATTAAGCAAATAAAAAATTGTAATTTGTAAATCGTGGCTGTGCATTTCTCTGATGAAATTTCAATTTAATTTAATTGCAGCAGATTAAGGCTGCGTCGATGCACAACTTCAGGCGCGTTAATTAAGCGCGCACTTGTAGCATACTTTTGAGAGCGCGCTTTTTGGCGCATCGTCCTTTCTCAGTGGAAGCCTCTCGAATTCTCGCTGGCTGTGAGTAATGAAGTGCTTTAAATATTAAAACCAATTTACGTGACAACATACGCGTGTTATGAAGCTTGTTACCCGCATTGTTGTTATTAATTCTGTGTCCCAAAAAATAAACCAGCTGGCGTATTTCCATGGCTTGGCCACGGCCGTGCCCCGAGGCTGGTAAGGGCTCTGGCCGCTTCGCCTGTTCACAGGCTCGTGTGGCCAGTAAACTTTTGCAATTAATCAAGATAGGGCAACCAGCAACTGGACAACCACTGCGTCGCCGACAACAAAGTCCCATTTGCATGAATCTGCCATATGGCTGCCACTACCTGGACAGACTCATTCCAGTCACGCTCTCGCCCTCTTTTGCTGTGTGGGCGGCACAAGATTAATAATAATAACTACGACTAGCGCAGCGGTTGGTCAGCAAGTGGCATAATCATGATTTATGACATGCAATTAATAAGCGGCATGGCCGGACAAGCGACAGGAGCCGCAATTGGAAGCTGTTGAAAGGACCCCCGCAGCTTGCCCAGCCTGCACCACAGTCCAGTCAAATGGGCTTTTGAAAAGCAGGTACTTTGTTATAATGACTTTTAATCATATTTTTCATTTAATAAAAATCTTGATTGAATATTAGGTGCTAAGAACTATTTTCGGTTTCTCAAAATTATAACCAGATTAACTTTCTTTTAATGCCAACTATTCGGTTTCCTGATTAAATACTCGTATTATATAAGAAATTGACAGCAATAGCTATTATATTTACTTTAAAAAAGAATCCAAACACAAAAGGAAACTAAGTGATAATTAGTGAAGTAAGTAGTAAAAGCAAAAGTAATGCTAGTTGTCATTGGTAAATTAACTATCCGAGTAGGAAGAGGGTCGAGCAGCTGAATAGCCTCGAGTATCCGGGTCCGATTGCCCGGCGAGTAGTTAGTTGACTGTCCTAATTAAAAGTAAATTGGGTAGCTAGTTTATCTATGCTGAGATGCACAGACCGAGAGTTAGGCAACCGCCAAAGCTGTATCAAAAAGAAAACATCACACTTAATCTGTTTTCCATGCTCAGCTTTGAATTTGAATGCACATTTTCTATCGATCTGTTGTCCATACTCTTAAGACCCTAATCCATTTGTTGATTTCGTCCAATTAATTTGAGTCTTAATGAGCTTTTGTGACTAGTGAAATAGAGAAAGTCAACACTTAAATATTTATTTAAGCATTCATATAAATTTGCATCTTTATGCCGTCAACCGTGTTGCAGAATGTTATGAAAACCCTTACAAAGGTTGTGTTTAAATAATTAAATTGTTTTACTCCTAGGTGTTGACCACAGAATTGCATTTATTAATTGCAGCCCCCGTTGTTGTTGCGGCTGTTGTGTGTACAGCTAATTAAAATAAATGGCTTGTGACAATGCCGTCAATGTGGCCACCAATGCTCGCCAGAGTTAGCCCAAATGGGTGCAAATGACATTTCGGTTGGCCGCCTGTTTCACAGTTCATTTATGGTCTAGGGTCTATTTGGCGCTATTTTGAATGTGCCCGGCAAACATGTGGCAGTCATTGTTGTTGCTGTTGTTGTCTCTGTTGTTTTTCCAGGCAGTTAAAATAATTACTTTGTAATGAAAATTATGGTAGGGCGTCGAGCGCCCAATGCAATTATTTCAGTTTGTGCACATTTGCGCAATTGTTTGCAATTACATTATGAAAAACACTTTTAAAATTTGCATTTGTTTACTTTTTGGCTCACGAAATGTAACATAGCATCAGCAGCAAAAGTAAAAACTGCGTACGCCATTAAATTGAAATGCAATTTGGCAAATAATTTAAATAAATGGTGCAACATGAACATTAAATTAATGCCGGCAGCTATGTAATTGCTTTTTTAACAGTATTTGTTTAATCAACCAATTCCTCGGTAAATATATTTTACATAATTGCATTACTCATGCAATCAGTTTCATATATTAACAAATTGTGGAAAGCTTTTTCATTGTGCCAAACAATTTATCTCAGTTACTCAATAAGCATCAATCACTGCACGCAATTGCACTTGAAACTCGAGCTCATAGTTGCATGCTCTGAATTTTGGCTTAGAATGCATAGATTTTAGCCAGTAGGTAAGCTTTATAAGGTATTTATATACTTTGTAAGTCTCAGTTAGCGTGGTAAAACTTGCTCGATCAATTTAATAGCACTACAGAAAAAACCTGTTTGAGCTCTTGGCATTATTTCGAATCTTTTAATTATAGAAAATTAGTAAAAAATGAATTAGCTTCCTGGTAAACATAAATAAAAAAATGTATATACGAAATAAATTATATTCTTTCCCGTAATATTTCTTTGTATTTAGAGTTGGCATTTATCCTTTATATAAGACAAGTCAAATGATGAAAGCCATCTGGCACAGCATTAATTTAATTGCTGAATTTTATCACCCGCATGTATGTATTACACATAGGCAAACTTATTAACTGTGCGCTCAGGCTAACCGAAGCCAACTCCTTATCAAATGCAGGCCAAATTCGAATACTCAAGCCGACCATAAAATAATGTGAGTTCCAATCTGGCAACTGATATGTCATCCCGAGCTGGGCACAAGCCACAAGGAGGTGGTGAAGGAAGTGGTGCAGGCACAGGTACAGGCAGAGGTCAGATCGTGTACAATTAGCAATGCCCAAAGCGGCGTGAGTCGTCATTAACCCGTACAGCACATAGAGAAGCATGACGATGGCCCGAAAGGGGGCAGGAAACAGGCATTTCCGTTTCCGCCCGCAGGCGTGCCAAATTGTACGAAATTAGTACTCTGATTTATTTTGCATATTAAATTTTGAGCCCACTGAAAAAGCAGACATGGAGACTGGCAGCAAAAGCAATTCAAATTTTGTATGCTTGCGAGACTGTAGAGTAGAGTGCGGCAGTAAGGAAGGGGACAAAGCCCTATGTCAGGTCATGATAGACTCACTGATTAGCTACTTTTGGGAATTTTCGTGACTTGTCGCTTGATTACTTTTCTCAACTGTCGCCTGGGCTGTACCCTAGTTTTATGTCTTTTACCCACACACACACACATCGTCAGTTTATTCTCTGGTTCATCATCAGCATCATAATGAACGAGCTGGCTAAAACTACACATGAAGTGGGCGTGGTTGTGGTTAGCCTCGATTTCGGCGTCAAAATTTGATTAAATTTTCAATTTTGCTTGCCTTTGGCCTTTATCTGCTGCCCTCAAAATGACTACGTAGTTTATTAATATTAATTGCCGTTGCTCAGTTTGGCTATATTCGGTAAATTGATAGGTTTCCCATTTTTTTGACTTTTCGCTTCTGCTGGTGCTAGATTGTGAAGCTAAAAGTTTAACTTTCTGGATCATTAACTGATTTGATGGCTTCTGCCACATTGTGTAATTGACCATAATATGCGGGTGGCCAACTTGTTCTGGACAGGTTATTGCTTCAAGAAACAGCCATTTACTTGATGTAAATTAAAGTCAAAAACAAAAAAGTTGTGCTATTCTAAAGTTACTTAGAATTTTGATTACCTTATCGCATATTATAAATATCTGAAGACCTGGCAATGAATATACATCGATATTAAATTATCAAGAATAGTTAATAGAATAGTTTTGTTTAGTTTAGGAACAGATTGTCAACATTTACCACATTAACAATTGACAATTAATATAAATAAAAAATGTCTTTTGAACATTAACCATAATTAATAATAAATATCAGGTCGAATATATTTGTACTCACATAACTAGTTCTCTTTTAATACGGAGGTAAAACTTGAAACATACCTGTAATAAAATGTAATAATAAATATATTAGCGAATTGAAATTGCAGATGTTTATTTAACTATAAAATATAAGTATAGGGTCGTACACCAGCTGCCTTTGCACTAAAATAAAAATGATATCCATGTCGCGGCTTCTCACTCACCTGACTCAAACGATCCTGACTATCGATGATATCGATAAACAACCGCATGCGATCGTCGAGTATCTGAAAGCCGTTTCGTGGCAGCAGCAGCAAATTCTGCACCGCATCCCGAATGCTGCCCGGGGTGGTGCTGCAAGAGCTGCTGTCGTCGCTATGGAAGCCATTTTGCAATTGTTGCTGCTGCGCTTGATGCTGCTGGAATTGTGAATGGTGTTGTTGATGATGCTGCTGCTGCTGGTGCTGTTGCTGCTGTTGCTGCAGCTTAAGCTGCATCGAGTGCTGACGCAGAGCCTCCGAGCATTTGCGCAAATAATCATAGGAACCTTTCGATTTGTACTTATCGGCCATGGCGTGAAAGCTGTCCAATATTTCATTAAAGTCTGTCATCAGCGGCGCCGTTGAGGGCGTGGTCGTGGCACTCGAGGGCGTCGTCACCGTCAGCGCCAGCGAACCCAGCGAGCTATTCGATTTGCTCATCACCATTTGCTGTGGCGAGCTGGTGATCACCCGGAGCTCAGTTGTCAGAGAGCTGCTGCCGCTGGCTGCCAGAGTTTTGAGACTGCCGCTGCTGGCAGAGCTGCTGACCACCTTGCTGGGACTGAGCGACTGCAAATCCTCGCTCATCAGCCGCAAATTATCAGAGATTTGATGAAAGCTCTCGGAGGTCACCAGCGAATGTTCGCGCTGCTCCAGCTTGGCACTGCTGCTGCCTGGCAGCACGCTGCTCTTGGGTCGCCTGCGTGTGGGCAAGCCACACCCGCTGACTCCGCCAGCAGAGACAGCAGCTGCGGAAGCAGCAGCTGTGGAAGCATTTGGTGCTGCTCCGGGTGTGCCGACTCCTGGCGTGCCGGAGGTCACGTCGGGCATTTGTAGCGGCTTTGAAATGAACGAGTCTAGCGTTTGGGAGCTACTCAACTTGGGTTTATCCGAGCTTTCAGGTATTTTATTGGCGCGTATTGCGTCCAGAAACTGACGCAGCTGATCCGAGGGCGTGGGCGGCGGCGGTTCCTCTGCGACAACCTTAGCAGCAACTGAATCGCCATTGCGCTTTAGCGTCGATGTCGGCTTTAGCACATCCTCTGGCATGTGCTGCTGATACTCCTGCCGCATGCTGCTACGAATGTTGTCGAGGAACAGGCGCAGCTGGTTGGACGGTGTTTGGACCTCGCCGGCGTTTGACAATGAAGCCAACGACTTGCTAACAATTTCCGGCGAGATCATGTTCGGCTGAAAGTTGTTGTTGTTATTGTTGTTGCTGCTGCTGTTGCTGATGGAGCTGCTGTTGCTGTTGGGCGCGAGCAAATTGAGATTCGTTTGGCTTTGCTTTGTCAGCTGCTGCTGGCGCTTTAGCTCGGATAAGAGCTTCGCCTGCTCGGAGTACTTGCGCACGCTCTCCGTAATGGTGCGCAGCTGCTCGGAATAGGCGCGCAGCTGATGCTCTAGGTAGGCCTGATCCGGCCCTGGTGCCGCATAACTGGAGGGTCTAGTATCGGGCTTGTCAGTCTCCGCCGGCTCCTGACTGCCATGAAAGCTCAGCGAGTGGCGCATGGTGCCCGTCTGCAATGTGGTCGCTGCCTGCAACATGCTCTCCGTGCTGCAGCTCTTCTTGGGGCTGCGCTGTCGTCCGACCGTGCCATTGTTGTTGCCATTGCTGCCATTGGCAAAGCGTCGCAGCGGAATGGGCGGCGCCTCCGTATGCTGGCCGCCATTGTAGCGATCCAGACTGCGTGGACGCTGCACCCCATTGCCATTAAGATGTCCATTGATCGGTGAAGCCATCGCCATACCCTGTGCCTGCTGCTGTTGCTGCTGTAGTGCTGGTCCATTAGGCCGAGGCGTGCTTTGTGAACGTCGCGGTACGACTGGCACGCCGGCAACTGGCCCTGGCCCTGCTGCTGTCGTCGCTGCCGCCTGGCGGTGCAGTGGCACCGGTGGTGCTGGCTGTCCATTGGTAGGACTTTGTCTGTACTGCTGGAAAATTGCCGCGTATAGCGATTCCTTGTCCGCGGCAGTGGCTGTGGATGTTGTCGTCGTATTGCTGGCGCTACTCACGAGACTTACTGCATTGCGCAGCTGTTGCTGCTGGCGTGAAAGCTGCAGCAGACGCTGTTGCTGCTGAGCATTGTAGTCAACAAAGCTGGACCGACCCCCACTAGTTGGCGAAGCTGTGGAAGCGGTAACAGCAATGCTATGGGGTCGCTGCTTCAAGCCGCGCAGCCGAGAAGGCTCTGCATATTCGGGCATCTCGTAGCCTTTGGATGTTGTCGTTGTCGTCTTGACAATTGTCGGTGTCGCTTCCGTGGGCGAGGGGCTATTCAAGAAAGGATTGTTGCCTTTCAAGGCTATGGGCGTGGCAGCACCAGGTATGCCCGCTGTGGGCAACATGTTCGTCAACTGCGGCGGCGGTCCTGGTGAATTTTGCAGCAACTGTTGCTGTTGCTGGCTCGGCAGGGGCTGTGTGCTGCCCGGGTATTGCAGCGACTCGCTTATATGCAAATCTAGTTCATGGGCGTTGGGCTTGGCGTAAATGCTGTTCGCTGTGCTTGTGCGTGTAGAAGGCGTGGCTGCAGCCGGATAACCTGTTATGCGAAAGCCATTCATATTGGCAGTCTGTAGCGGTTGTGGTTGATGCTGCTGCTGCGCCTGCTGCTGCTGCCTCTGCTCTTGTGCGCTCTTGGCCTTTATTGCCGGCGTTATCATATCCTTCCTACAATAGCTCGACTACGTGGTCATTGCGATTCCTTGTTGCCTTTTGCTGCTACTGCTGTATGCGTATGATTTTCAGTTGTCTTGCATATAGCATGGGAATTGTTCAATTTTGATTGTAACCGAGTCAAGTGGGCAATCAGTCAATCAATCACTCAATCTCTCAGTTCAGCGCCTTCACTTTAGTCATCGTCTTTAGCTTGTCAAATTAATTGCACTTCGCGGTGCAATTAATGAAATTTGTATTCGACGCTGGTTGAATGAATGCAAGTGGCATTTAAATTTATGGCGCACCACGGGACGTATACGCAATGCTTATAATTGTTAATGGCAATTGACAAAAGTTGTACGGCTCTTGAACACTCGATTTTACGAATTAACTACCTAACGATCGATATATGTATCGATAAGTTTTTTAGATAGCAAAAGGGTTCAATATATAATTATATCTTCCTCTCAAATGTTACAGCAAGCAGATATCAATACTTTAATTTAGTTAACATAGGTATATGTATTGCGATAAGTTAAAACAAACAACTAAAATCTCATTAGGCTAGTAATATATAAATATATGCGTTTTAATGATGTCATTTCCAATCAATACGAAGTCAACATAAATATATTAATGCCAACATGCTAGAAATGCAGCCAATCAAAGAGTTTGACAAGATTCATAATAGACATTTTGTTTACATGAAAACAATCAGTAAGCAAATTGAGTAAAACAAAATCACTAGAAAAGCCAAATTACATACAAATACGCCGAAAGGAATCCACCCAAGCCGGACCGAGGAATGGAAATTACCATTTTGCATTAGATGCACATAACGAATTGTCCAAATACTCATTCCGCAGGGCAATACCTGTCCAAATATTTCGACATATTTGGCAAGCCATGGCTTATATGTTATACACTGTGTGTAACATGCAATAATATATTGAGGCCAAGGAATTTGTTGCACAAAATTCAAAATTGAAATGCCAACGGTTGCAGCACACAGAAAGCCCGTGTTATGTGCCAGCATTGACAATACTATTTATGGCTATCCATGTGGGCCACTGCCTGAGACCGTCATCATTGTCTTCTGGTCGTGCTGGCTACGTGGCAGCTACGTGTCAACAGCATTACAAATATGTGTGACACACGCAGACACACATACATACTGTAAGGACAACAAACAGAGAACTGAAACAAAAAATAGAACTGAAGCATTTGCACGCTTTATGG